AATCAATGCCTGAAAACTGGTAACAGCAGATGAGGACAAGGCTGAGGTACTCATTAACTTTTTGTTTATTTGTTTTTGTGGCCTAAGTCTAAACATATGCTCAGAATAGGCACAAAGTTCTTTGCTTAGAACTTAAAATGTGAGCATTGGTAGACAATAGCATTCTTTCCTAGAAGAACATCCATGTGCTTTAAAAACCTATGAAACAATGTAAAACTATAATATAAATGTAGACATAACCATGCACTGAGATAGCGTTCAAACAGATAATGCTAATCAGGATTATCAGCTGCTGGACTGCACAGCCTCCATGCTCCAGATATCTGCTGCATGCCACTACCCTTTGCAATGTGACTTCTCTCTGCTGATCAGATTCCTAAACTTACTGCGTCCACAGTTAAAAATAACCCAACAGTAAAGAGGGGAGGGAATTAAAAGCCAGTTTAAACTTTTTGAATAGAATGTTGTTAGCTCTTTCCTAACTGCTCCATCTGTCTTGAAAGAGACTGAAACACCTGTCAAAATGTGTCTTTTTTGACAGTAATTAGTCCTTTAAGGAAGTGATCCATAAATGTGATCTCTGACATGACTGATTAACTTCTAACTTGTTAGGTGGCTTTTGCTTTGTGAAGTTATTACAAGTGGAGGAACATGGGTTTCTCTTTCTTTTCCCAGGTTCTATTCTGTCTGTTGATAGTTAATTTGCCTCTGAAGACAGCATTTCAGAATAGATGAGGCTGTATTGTCCAGTTTATCGAGTGTATGATCCAGGACATACTTTGCCCATCAACTATGCTGCTGTGATCTCTGTAATTCTTAAGGATGAACATCTGCCGTGTCTTTCACAGCAGCTCTCATCCTAATTTCCAGCACTGTAACGTGGTGCTTTTTGAATGATTAGTAAAGGTGTCACCTTCCCTAGACATTCTTTGCTCATACTTCTTGGTGGTACTACTGCTTTTGGTGACATCCAGGAAGCCCAGACAGCAATGGGTAATGGATGCCCACACTGAAGGTAGAGCAATGGCATGGTAACAGTGGATCTTACTGATCAAGGTAGCAGGTATAAATTCACTTGAAGGAAAAACTTGGTGGTCAGTCTTTTCTTTGTGTGTGTGGTCTGGGTACTTACTTGTTTTGTAGCTTTTAATAGGAAAGCTATTAAAGTAATGACGCATCTGTGAACAGAATTTTTTAATTGACAGATAATATTTCAAAAGTTTCTGTCATACAGTTATTGATATATGAAAATGTATTAAAAAATCTAGAAATTTATTCTCAGTTCAGTGCATTTACCTTCATCACTGGCTGTTTTAAAAATTATCTGCTGATGATTAAATGGTGGATTCTTCAGGAAATGGAATGCAACAAAATATTTGCTCTAATTCAAGAAAAATTGTCCCAAAATTAAGACAATACAACTCTCTCTTTCCTCTCCTTGGAAAATTTTTTGACATGTTCCCTCCTATAGCTGGGCAGAAATGGGCAATGACATTCAGAAAAACCCAACCTAAACCAAACCAAAAAACCCAAACCAAATCAAACAAAAACCATCCCCCAAAGTAATCTAACAGGAAACAAAATGATTTCCATGCCAGTGGAAAACTGGTGCAACCTGTAATTGCAGCAGAAGTGTTAAAGGCTTTCAGAAGACAGAGAACACTCAGATACTTACTGTTTGTTTGAGTCTTAGCTTCCACAGGGAAGTAATCATGTAAAAGATCAAGGTGTCTCTTTCTAACTGGCTACAGCAATTCCAGCTTGTAAACAATTAGCAATGTGATCTGACATGATGACAGGCAGGCACAAAGTGAAAATACAGCATTGTAATGAGCATATCTGACAATGCCTGCGTGATATCAGTCATAATTTGGTACAGGATAACAGAAACAGAGTCCTAAGGTGGTACAAACATTTTTGATCTACTGTAGCTCAACAGTGGGATTTTCAGAAATACTTTACTAGTCTTGCTCCAGTTAAATTACTAGAATTGGGAGCTTTATTATCTGCTTAATTGATGTATTGTCATCATACTTCAATGACTTATGACATATCATTTTTAGAAGCAAAGTCCTCTTAAAGACATAAAGATTTAAAACAGTTCTTGCAAACTGGGAAATAGCAAGTATCATGGTTGTTATTCATTTTGCTACAGCGCTATAAATCCTCAAAGTAGACTAAATTTTTACTGTTCTAAGAAACAACTCAGTGTAGTAGTTCCACCTTAATATTTAAAACTTATGTCCTCTTTATTCAACGTATCTTCCTATTCTCTTCACTATCAAAGCCTAGATACCTGGATCTATAAATGTATTTGAACACTTATCTGCCTCTTCTTCCCATTTTTAGATCTTTCATGTTTACACCATACTTTCTGTTTGGTGGTTTCTTTTTTTTTGGTCTTCTTCTACTAACATAATTCTGTTGTTCTGTAAAATGAACATGTTTGTTATCAAGACATGGCTACTTATGAAGGGGAAAATCAGGAATTGCCATTACCATGTTAAAGTATTCATCCTGAAAATGTTGCACATTATAGTACAGTTTTGGTAACTTAATATACATAAAAGACAATTATTCCCTGGATTCTCATCACTAAGTACTCATCTATTTGACACTTTTCTTTGATTATGCTCTTGCCTCTACCTATGCCAGACAGATGTTTTAGCATTCAGTAACATGGCATAGCTGGCAATCATCTAACAAAATTATTTTTACTAAATAAAATAAATGTTATCATCCATCAGTAATAAAGTTTTAAAAAGTGGACTTTGATTAATTCCTTGACTCCAGGGAAAAGCTGTTTAGGTATTGCCTCAATACTAATTTTAAATATTTTAGAATTCCTTTATCTGTGATGATTCTTTGAAATATTTTACCAACATTAGAGATCCAACCTAAAACCTTATGAAAATATTTCTGACCTGAAAAACACTTCAAGATATTGGGCTATGGAATATATTTGTGACTTTTCTTTTAGTGAGAAAATTTTTGAAGCAAACTTTGGTTGTTTGGAAGTTTCTCATTGAACACTGAAGATCAAATTTACCTATTTTCTTCCCTGCTTAGCCCTTTAAGTATATAATACCTCTTTAAGTTGTGTTTTGGAAGGAAATTGCATAAGTAATACAGAAATTCCATTTTCTTAGGTTCAGATACAGTGGAGGTTCTATACTTTGTTTTGTTAATCAATGGATAGATAACAACATAATAGCAAGATATTTCTAAAAGCTTTTGAAAAGCAACATAATGAACATATGAACACACAGTCTTTGGTTTTGCTGAACTCTGTAAGTTATGTTTTGCAGCTGGCTCCAGAATAAGGTTCTGTAATAAACCAGACAATGTTACGTTGGTCTATAAAACAAAGTGGAACACTTACATAAAGACATTTGTTAACTTTCATATCAAGACTTTATCAGGCTAGTCCTCAAACAGTGAGCCTTCAAGGGTAGCGATGACATTCTTTCTTCCATTAGTCATTTTTCTTGCAGGCTTATTGCAAGAAAGAACCGTTTCTCAAAATAGAGAAACCTGGCTCTGTTTTGACCAGATACGGGAAAACTTTCCTTTGAAATGCTGTTTTTATTAAGCTCATTTGTTCTTCATGCTCTGGTGGAGGGAGGGAAAGCCTGGTTAGTACGTTGTTTGTTTACAAACAAGTTTTGCAAATTCTCGTTTAAACACTTCTGTTTTTCTAGAGCCTTTGACATGGGTGTAAATCAGTAAAAGGGACTACCAGTCTTTCTTGTTTACACTAGTGAAGGATCTAGCCCAGTTTCCCTACCATTCCTGCAGCCTGACATTTGAATGGAACTGCAATTAGCAGGGTTGTTTTTGTTTAACTTTATTTAGCACCTTATCTCCCTGTAACATTCTTGTCCGAGTACCAGTATCAGCCATGAACTCAACATAGCTCTTACCAATGCTGTTCTATTTTGGGCTAGAATGAAAAAAACCGTCAGCCCAGATCAAAGAGCACCCTCCTCTTTGCTCTGGGAATAGAAATTGTTAACCAATTGGTGCAAAAAGCCACGACAAATCGATTCACACCACAGATAAGGAAGTCATAACTTACTCCACTACACAGGAAAGTTATCCAAGCCCTAAAACAACTTGTTCTTCATGGCCAAACACATGCACCCTTCCACAAAAACCAAAATGTTGCTGGTGGAAGACCCACATTGTAGATGACGCAAGACTGCAGAACTGTGTTTATTGCATTCTACAATTTTCCCCATTAGTTAGTTATTTACTCCTTATGTTGTACTAACATGAGGGACTGCAAGGCCTGTTGTCCAAGCTCTTAATTCCTCTTACTCATATTAAAAAGAGCCTCCTTGGGGATTCAGAGTCCGGCAGAGCTCTGATGCTCCCAGGTGCTGAAATTCTGCAAAAAGGGACGGACCAGCTGACCCTGAAGGTTTTGGTAATCCTAAATCTGAGGTAAGGGCTTGTACCCCTGAAGCTTGAGCCATCCAAGGCCACAGGTCTGGGAAACACTGGAGCACCTTGCCCCACAGAGTGGGCTGAGACGACGCGAAAGCCTGCTGGGTTTTGGGGTTGCTGGAAGGCTGCTCCCTGTCCTCGCAGCTCCTCACACAGGTGAGAGGCCACCTCCATGCAGCCATGGCGGTGACAAGGGGACAGGTGAAACAGGTGGAGGTCAGAGTGACACTTCACAGCGCGTGATTTGTTCTGAGAGTGACACGGAGGGCGGTCCGGACACCGCCGAGCGCTGCCCTCCAAACCCGCGCCGTCGGGGCCAGGCTGGGGGGGCCGCGGGGCCGCCGGCAGCGCCTCCCGCCGGGCAGCACCGGGACTGCGGGCGGGATGGGCCCGCCCCCGCCCTTCCCCGCACCTTTCCCCGTCGGGAGCCGCCCCGTGGGGGCCGGGCCAGCGGCGGCGGCGGGACAGGGATCCCGGCGGCGGCCGCAGCTCCCGGGGCAGCGCAGCCCCGACACCGCCGCGCCGCCAGAGCTGCCCCGGCCGCCCCAGCCATGTCCTCCAGCTCCCCGCCGGGCGAGCCGAAGAGCCGCAGCCTGGGCCGGCTGTCGCTGCCCAGGAGGGGCAGCATGACGCCCGGCAAGAAGCCGTCGGCGCTGGAGCTGGCCGAGAGCACCCCGAACGCCCACTACGCCCCGCTGTCCGCGGCGCAGGGCGGGCAGGCTCCGCCGGGCTGCGGCACCGAGCCGGTGCGGGAGCGGGCACCGCGCCTGCGGAGCGAGGTGGTGATGGTGAGCGCCGACTGCCCGCGGCCCCCCGTCAGCCTGGACCCCCGCGTCTCCATCTACAGCCTCCGCAAGCCCCTACTGAGCCGCAGCAGCGTCCAGGGCAGGGTCTACAACTTCTTGGAGCGACCCACGGGCTGGAAGTGCTTCGTGTACCACTTCACCGTGTGAGTACCGCCCCGCTCCCGCCGGGCACCTGCTCCGCGCCGCGCTCCCGTTACAGCCGCTGGGACAGTCCCCTGGAGCGGGGGCACCGTCCCGGCGCGGCCGGCGCTGTGCGGGGCTCCCGGGGCCGCCCCTCACCTGCACCCGGGGGACCGCCGTGCCCCCTCCCCACCTCCCGAGCAGGGGGCTCGTCCTCCCCGTGGAGACTTCCAGACCAGCCCGGTGCTCCAGGCTTGAACATCCTACAGATACAGTCTTTTGGGCTGGGTGGTTTGTTTGTTTGTTTTAACAGGTGTGAAGTAAAAGAAAAGTTACGCTCCGGGGGAAAGTATTGCCATTCTGGAGCGCTTAGGTGTAACCTATCAGATAGGGTAGGATCTGGCTTCTGGCAATTTTGTTCAGGTTACCCTGGGAGTTGAAATAAGTTGTTGACACTGAATGTGGAAACGAAGTAGGTAACAGTGTCATTCATTGTTTACTAATTTTCGGTGGAGCGACATCTGTATGATGCCAATGCTCACTGTGCGATATCAGTTTCTAACCGAACAGGTGTGTTATCAGTGCTGCAACGCTGTCAGAGGAGAATGAGAGGCAGGTGATGCTCGTTTTCCTTGCCTCTTTTATTGCCCCTTGCTCTAACTTGTGCTATCGGGTACGAATGCCATCACTGTTATTTTTAGACAGGAGAAGGTGATGATGTTTGGAGGGTGTTGTTTAAATGCAGGCAGGTTGAAAAATGTTTTGGCTCTAATGTTGTCTGTGGAGTGCAATGTCCAACCCGAGCCAGCCCACCGTAGGTCTGTGGTGCACAAACATCTCGGCAAGTGCCTCCGTGAGAAATCATTGCTTTTTAATCGAGGTGTTGCTAAAGGCTTGCGTGACCCTTGGGCAATTGGTGTATGTTAAATATAGGTAATAAGGTCAGGTAGAAATGTGTCTGTTTATATATGCACAAACATATATGTGTATGGAAATCCATTACATATATATATATATGCACTTATTACAACACCTGGAGGTAAAGACATTTTATGGTCAAAAGACATTAAAGTCAATTTTTATGATCTAGTTATTTTATTCTGATTTTAAATTCTAAGTAACTATTATTTAAGGTCAGCTGAGGATTGTGTGCTTCTATTCCACTTTTCAGGATTCTGGAGTCTTTAGATCATCCGATCAAGTGGTACCAACTTTATTTTAGTGGAGGGAAAACAGCTGTCATCTGAATGTATGTAATCAGGAGATGACTGTGTGCAACTGCTGAGATAATTGTGGGCTCCATTCTCTTTAGCATTATGATAATGCCATTAGATGACAAAATGACTAATGACCATAATTATGAAGTGCCTAATAGTTATGGTTGAACAATGTAAAACACTTAAACACTTTCAGGAATCGGAATTCCTTTTTTTTTTTTTTTTTTTAATCTTTCTTTCCTAAAATGGAGTTGTAGGCAGCCATCTTTTATGGTTTGTGACCTTTCAGGTTTCTGAAATTATGTATAGGAGGAACAATAAACTATGTTTAGAAAACCAACCCAAAAAATGGTCGTTCCCTTTGTCTGCCTAAGGTTCTAATTTGAATTTTAACTTCCCCCCTCCAAGTATTAGCAGTATGCATTAATCCTGTCTATGCAAGAATTAAGATTTTATATTTCTACTTTAATATATTGTAATATGTGTAAGTCTGTCTCTCCCCTCAAAACACACTTATCCATGGTGTAATCATTAGCCCCAGCGCTTCCCCTCTTTCCAGAAGAACTCTTCTGATTCAATGATGAATGATAGTGGCAGTAAATATTCTCAAGCCTCCTACTAAGCATTGTTCAAGTTCCTTAGGGCTCTGAAGAGACAGAAGAGAGTACTAACACCCTTAGATGTTTCTTGCAAGGCAACGTGCAAGTACCATTTAGGCAGCCTCACTTTGATTCCCACCAGCAGAGGGAATTAAGGTTGTACTGTTTCCAACCATCCCAACTTCTCCTTATTTTTGTGGTACATAAGCTTGTACTTTTTGTGCCCATTAAATAATGTTTTAAGTTACTGATCTTTGGTCCATACTACTTCATCTCTCTCTCTGAGCTCCCAAAGCAACTCCCTGTTGTCCCAAGGAATGCTCTTTTGAGTACAGCCCCTGCCAGACAGGTGCTGAGTACTGGCAGATGAAGAGTGGCTACAGAACAGAAGTTTCTTACTAAAATTAACTGACAAGGCAGATTTTTCTGATTTGGAGAAGCTGTTGTGTCTCAGCATCTACTCTGAAGAAAGCATGGGACCTGCTTTGTGCAGTTGGCTACGAGGGATGAGGTGCAGAGCTGGAAAGGACTCGGAGTTACAAGACACACACGCACACTGTCATGCGTGTGCTTCTTTCGCACTGGAGGAAGTACTTGATTATTCTATTATCAGCATACAAACAGTCATTCACAGAATGCTAAGCTGGGTTTTACCTGGTGGCATGCAAGGACCCTGATGTTTGTCTTTCCTGCCCAAAGGAGTTTAAGAAACTGAAGTAATTTGCCTTTGTCTTTTTGATTCCGTCTGCTGTCTGCCTCCTGCTTTCTTCTTGGGGCTCTCAGCTGCCTGAGACGTCTTGGTCGCTGTCTTAAACGTTTAGAGGGGAAGGAAAGAAGTGGTGTTAAATCAGGGCATAAAGACCTAAGCTGAGTAGAGGGTCCTAGCCAATGATGAGAGCAACGAGCACTGCAGGCATCTTCATTTTCTGTCTTCAATGTGGTGCAGAGTGTGTGGCTGTGTTCTTAATTATATGCTCGAATTATTACAGTTAGAAACAACTCCTGCAGCAGTTCATGTAACTTGTTCTGGACCTTTATCTCTGGCTGGTTGTTAAAACACTCTTTATCAAGCGATAAGAGCTACATCTACTGATTGCCTGTCACACCCTTTTCCTGCTCAGGAATCTTAATCAAGTGGTATGTAGAGTACTAATAGAGTACTAATATTAATACTAATAGTATTAATAAGAACTGATATTCAGAATTTATTTTCCTCGGGTTTATATTATATTGTTTGGAAAAGGGAAGTTGAACAACAAACTTTAATCCACAGATTCTAGGTTGGAATGTTTGTTTCGCACTGATTGCTGTATGTTTTGGTGAGCAACAAAGCCTTTTGTGTACCCTTGACTTAAAGGATGGAGTCTGGTTATCTTGTACAGCAACAAATCAGGCAAATTACCTGTTTACTTTTGAATTGTTACTTCTTTCAAAAGGTGTCTGAAATAGCTATTTTCCAATATGCAAAATATATATTCTGTCTCTCTTGTTGATGTTTTTAATCTTCCAGGGTAATTTGACATCACAGTCTCTGATTAAATCAATTGAATTCTAGACAGGTCTTTTCTAAGTTTTTTTCATATTTGATCAGACCAAAGAGGAGAAAATCTCACGTGAACAGAATAGAGAATGAATTACTGTGCCTCAGTTATATTAGATTGTTGAAGGCTGGGGAATAGTCTCTATGGAGAGAAGGAATGAATAATTAGCTGCTAATTTACCACTCAAAAAATCTGCCTAAAAATACTAGTAGAGATGATAGAAACTTTTATTTCAGCTACTTGACTTGGTTTGATTTTGTAATAAATTTCATTTATTAGATATAATAGATGGAGTATATAATATATGTACACTTAATTTTACCGCTGCAAGTAAATTGTGCTCCATGGCTGAAGATTTACACACATGACTTCTGCAAACTCACTTGGTGGTTGCTTGGAAACTTGGGCTTTGCAAGCAAGAGCTTGCCCTGTGGTGTGGCTGAATGTATGGTCCTGCCAGAGCCACCAAATGCGCCTTGGCTGTCAGAGGTGAGGGAATGACTGAGAACCACTGTTCTCAATGACCTTCCAAGCTAGGGCATCTTATCACACTTATTATAATAGTGCACCTTGAGATAGCAGCTTTGAGAGGTGAAATGTTTTGTGTCCTTAACGACTCAAGTTTTCAGGCTCTGTGAAGAGAGGTGGAGGGACAAAAGAAACTGAAATTCTGTCCTCATAGTGGCCTACTGAAATCCTTGGACTCTGTCCCAGTGTTGGAAATGACTGTAAAGAATAAGTGAAGATGTCAGATGTTTAAAATAATTATTTTAGATTTAAGTGCTCGAGGGAAGAGCTTCTTTTCACCTTCTTAAGTTTAAAATAAACATCTTAAAATGTGCCTAAAGAAACTAAAGTTATGAATAATTTCTCTTGTTCTCATTAAGGCAAGTAATGACTTCTGGGAGTGTTGACTCCCTGTATTCTTTGAAGTGTTGGCTGTAACCAGAGGGAACAATTTGGAAACTGATGGACCATTGGTCTGTTCCAATGTGGCAGCTCTCCTTTGTTGCCATGCAAGATAATCAGCTTCTATCTTATCTCTGCAAGCATACCTAGTTCAATTTACTTTGCTTTTATGTAAGTGTCGTTTAATCAGTAATGGTTGTTATTGAGTTTGTTCGAATCCCAAGTTGATTACATAAGCTTAGAGTGGCCAATAGCTGGGATTTGGAAACCTGATCTCTAGAAACAGACCAACTCTCAGAAGTGTGGCTGCATGTGTATGGATGCAAAGATAGAAAGTGAGGGTAGGTAGAACATTCCAGTTGCTTGAATCAGGACTTGGAGTAACCAATTATTAAAGGCAATGCAGTGCTTACATAGTGCTGTTTACACACAATACTATGAAGAAGCATAACTCCAACTTAAAATCCCAGGTTTGCTATGTTTTCAGATGTACTACAAACATAATTCCAAACTTCCTGGTTCATAGTTGTTGTATAAGCTGTTGAGGAGGTAAAAAGATCCATCAAATAATTAGTGTTGCACTTGCCCACACCTGACTTTTCTTTCAGACTGAAGAAAGCTGCAAACAAAAGTACTATGTTTTTGGCTTGAATATTTGTATATTTGGAAATTTTTGTGGCTCAAAATCAGGCTTCAGATTATTACTTCTGTTTGAAAAAGAAGATACAAATCCTCCAAAATAAACATGGCTTTTCTA